TACTAGTACTAGTACCACTACTACTACTACTACTACTACTACTACTACTACTGCTACTACCACCACTACTACTACTACTACTACTACTACTACTACTACTACTACTACCAGCAGCGTGTTCCAATTGCAGACGCATGAACACAGGGTTTATTTCGATGCATGACACAGTTCATGGGTCCCACAACTAGAATGCATGACTGCGCTTCTTGTGAAGCTGCCATGGTCGAAATATGTCATGAATACGTTGTCGCGTGTTGTTGGAGGACATTGTCCGGTAAGTTGCTCCAGACTGGAGGTACCTTCCAGTGGGGCTAAACAAAGTCATGGCGACACGTCTCGAGCTAGGAACGGTCGGTAGCCGCTTTGCACATACGTTTCTGCACAAGTTCGTTTGTTGCCTTGAGGCCTTACGGCTTCAGAAGGGGGTCAATGCAACCGACGACAGTCCGCCGGAAGGCCTTTCGAACTTCGCGCGGCCAAGTTTTCGGCCGCGGCAGCACATCACGGGAACCACTTCATATCTAGCTTACTCGATGCATAGTCTCGACTGCGGCTTTCGCTGACAGCGGACGAGAGTGTACCTCTCTCCGCGGAGCGTTGTCAGCTCGGTAATTTGCCGAGTGAGTCTGCTTGAGTCTAGCTGAGGTCGGCAAACGGCAGCGTTGAGGCAAGCTTGTGTGGCTCGGAGTGTTCCCTGAGAAGTTCGCGAGTTTGGCACATTGGCTCAGTGTGGACGTGGCCAGCCTTTGTTAGCCTTTGAATCCAACACGGGAGATACAGCTCGCACACGTTTAGTTTGCACTACTTGCACTTATAAAAAGTACAGACGAGATCACCGTAGTCTTTGTGAGTTGCCTGGACCGATAACTTCCGTCCCCGGTTCTTCGAAAGGAAGCCGAATGAGGTTCTCGGCCCCGTTCTGTTTTTGGGCAGGTTTTGGCCTAATGGTCTCTTCGGGAACGCGACGAAGAAAGCCCGAGTTCGCATGGACTTGGGGGGACTGAATGCTGACTCATGGTGCGCCATTGGGCTGGCCATGCCGGAGGGCACCAAGCTGCGATTTCGACTTCACGTGGGACGGCCTCTTAGTCAATGGTGATTGATTGAAGCGACAGCTCATGGAATAGGTGCGCAATCGCAGGTTTTCGCGAAGCTTAGTGACACTCGCTGTTTTGTGATTCAGGATTCCAGTGGTCAGAGGTCAGGACTTGCCAATGGCAACCGACTGGATCGATGGTGCATCAGATTTGGACGCCTCCACAACAGGAGACCTCGACGAAAGTGCTGCCTCCCTGCGGTGCCTCAAAGAATTTCAGACTTTGTCAGTCCTTTCCCGGCATGCAAGGCAGGACTGTGCTGGTTCCCTCTGCATCTCACTACAAATAAGCATCCACAGAGAGTGCTTGCAACCAGCGCTGAAGCGACTTCTCGCGATGCGACAAGTGTCTTGAAGCCTTCTGCTTCAAGCCGAAGACAGAGCCTTCCTTCTTGTGCAAGAGAGAAGACAGGAGTCCGTCTCGCGAATGACATTCTTGCGTCTGACCAGCATTGTCGATGAAAAGCTTTATCGGGCAAAAAAAATCATATGGCAATGAGACCCAGGTTGCTGCAATTTGCAACAACAGCCAAAGCCAACTCGAATGGTGTTCGACTCCATTAGTGGGACCCGTGAACAACCCAAAATGCTGATTCGAATGAATGGCCGAAGGTATTCCGTGTCTGGCTTGCATCGCCAGTGAGCACGAGCACCATAAACGAGGTGTCATAATCGAACTGCGACAATCAACGACTCTTCTCGAGGAGCCAGGTGAGCTCTCAAACCTGGTGGTTGGGGTCGAAGTCTTGCAGGACTTCACGTCCGATTCTTTGCCAGGCCTGGAATCTTTTCAAGGCTGTGCAAGGAAGACCTCAAATGCCTGCAGCGCCAGGCGTGGTGGCCTCACCATGGTTGAGCTCCCCGCGGTTCCAAAGGCTGCCAAATGTCGACAACGATCCTGTCAAGGATCCGAGCAACAGGCAGAAGACCTTACAGAAGGCCAAGGACAGCATGACTGCGTTGCTTGTAATTGTACTCACCGGCATGATCGTGAGCTCCAGAACGCTGGCCCCTGTCTAAAACTTGGAGCGTAGGATCGCAGACATATCTTGCGCAGTGGTCAGCAGATGTCAGCAAGATGTGTGACCATTTCGGGGGAGGGAGCGTGCTGGTGCATTAGATCGAGCAAGAACTCACATTGGAGGACGGAGTTCCCGTGCTCAAGGCGATGCGAACCGACCGCGGGATTGCATTGCCATCGCCCAGATTCGGATTCGGCCTGGAGCTACTTCGCAGCTCCCCTCGCTGCCGGATGGCTCCTGCATGATAGCTCTTTCGGGCAGCAGTGTAAGAAGCATGGTGCACCTGGCCTGGCACATTCATAGAGTCGTCAGTCCAACTTGCTCCCGGCAACCCACAATTAAGACTGTTGACGACTGTTGGTTCGCATGTATCCGGGAGAGATCAGACATGGGGGTGACCGAAGTGCCCACGCCTGGTCACTGACAAAATGGAAGCGCCTAGTGGGTTCTGTAGGCTTCGACGGGGTGCGCAGCCGCCGTAGAGAGTGCAGCGATATTGACAGCCACCGGCCCGGCGACTTCCACCCTAGACTCGCTAGTAGTAGAAGGGCCTAGAAATGACGCAATGTCGCTACTTGAAGGAATTTGACACCAACCATTCAACAGATGCAAATGACAACTTAGCACCGGCATCTCTCAGTTTCAACAACGATGCTGGAACACTGGAACACATTTGCGTGCATCAGCTTGGCACCGTGAAGCAGCTCATGAGGTCTTAGCGATAGCTCGATGGATGGGTAGGGTTGGAGTTGGAGTTTAGGAAGCTGGGTTTCGGGGGTTGAAAGGGTTTGCGTTTTGGTACTGGGTCTAAGTCTAGATCCTGTTGCCTGTGGGCCCAAGGTGGCCATGTTTGGCCACTGTCTTTTTCACTGCAACTTCCGGTCCGGCATGTGCAGCACTGTAACAGCAGGACGTGTGGTTGTTGTTTTCTCACAGCGGCGTTGAATATGTTGGAAAGTTAGAAGTTATTAGTTGGTAATTTTGGCAATGCTCAACATGACCAAGCACCCAATAGAGCTGGATAGAAGTGGTACTTCATGTTCAGTCTAATCCGCCCCGACAGCTTGGACCCGCGATTGTGAAACCACAATTGATTCCTGTTGTTTCTGGGTTTCTTTACGAGTTCACACATACGGATTCCTCACAGACACCTTGCAGCGCCGTGCCATGGGTTGTGGCGCATTGGTGGACTGGATTTAGAGGTGCGGGAACAGGGATCCTGACAGGTTGACGCATGGGCTGAGGTTCTGGGCAAACTACTTGCCGTGGGTTTAGGGTTTAGGGTACCCAAACACCCCAAACACCCTCATCCCAAAACCACAAACCCTAAACCCTAAACCCGAACCCCCAAACCCCCAAAACCCCTAAACCCGTGCATGCCCCCATAAACCCACCGCTTTCAGCCGAAGGCGACTACATCACCACGGAGTCGGGAACCGGGCTGGCCCCAACCTCACAGCCCAGAGAGGGAGGTGTATAACTTTCGGGTGTAAGGCTTCGGGTTTAGGGTTTAGGGTGAATAATTTTCGGGTTTAAGGCGGGTTTCGGGAGTCGAACGAGGGTCTTGGCCAGCGCGGATGCACTGGAGCGATGTACGTGGTTATCTTGACCCATGCTTCAGAACGACTTTTTCAAAAACAGCAAAAAACCCAACCACTCTTTCAAAAACAGCAAAAACCCTGCGGGGCGTCAAGGCCGACGTCAGCATAAACTTGGAGCCGATGCAAAGAGCAGCTGCATGACGGGCCCGGCGAGCTCGGCTCATCTGGCCAGACTCACGGTAGGAGGAGCTCACATCCAAGAATCAAGGCGTTTGGAGCAACAAAATGTACGATTTCCTTGGGCTGTCCGCAGTTTTCTTGACTCTTGGCTCGACTCGAGGATTAGGTTCGGCTCATTCGCTTGCAATGAAGCTTGGCCATCTTGTGCGTGCACTGCGTAACACCAGGTGGGGCTTTTTAACACCATGTCATAGAAAGGAAACACAAGCTGCTGATGTGTTTCTGTCTTGTATTTCGGTTGTAAACGGGCGATCTGCGTGTTGCTCGCCAGGTGCCGTCCCAATACCGCATCCGGAGTGTTGTCAACGCTTAGTGCCAAAGTTAGCAAGGGGCGGCCTGGCTTCGCCAAATGTGTTTTCCGAACCTCGTGTACAGCGTCGAATTACGGTGCCTCGCAAGCTGCCAGCTGCTTGTTTTGGACAGTAGTCTGCTATTCGAAATTGGACTGTTGTCGTTCCGGCTTTGATGTAACTGATCCCTTCACCTTCTCAGCCTGAGGTTACAAAGCCATCCGAACTCCGTATGGGGCGGCCACCATTTGCCGTATGCTGCAAAATGCCACGCTGCCAAAGGACTTCAAACTCTTGGATGCAGGCTGCGGGACTGGACACTTGTGCCGGGAAGTTTCGTCTGCATTTCCTGATGCTGACATTTTGGGGGTGGATTCGAGTCCAGACATGGTGAAAGCCGCCTCCGATGGATCCATTGGAAGCCGTTTCGAGGTAGCGGACGTGTTATCGCTACCCTACAATGACAGCAGTTTCGATGTGGTACTCTTGAGCCAGGTGCTACATCATTTGCCCCAGCCCCTTCGGGCGTCCATCAACGAAGCCCTGAAAGAAGCTAAGCGGGTCTTGAAGCCCGGAGGCCTCTTGCTTGTCACGGCAACCCGATGGACCCAGCGCGCTTCGTCCTATTGGACTTTCAAGATGATGCCCGATTCAGTCTGGGAGAAGTTGGCTGCAGATGATCGTTGGACTTGTTTCGAGCACACCTCGCAACATCCGGAGACTTTCACGCAGACTGCCAACAACCTGGGTTTCAAGTTGAGGGACATGGTCATCCCAGCCGACTCGCACTGGACCCCAGAAGCCCGGGATGATCTAGCTGCTGCCCTGACCAAAGAGTGGCGCGCCTCAGAAGGGTGCTTCGCGTACATGACCGAAGCAGAGCAAGAGGTCTTCCTGTCCCGCGTGCGTGGTGCTTTGGAGGAGGATGGTGGTAAAGGGATCACAGAGCAAGTCTCCCGAGCCCGGGCCTTCTACGGTGAAGCCACCGTCTACTGCTTTGACCGCCTTCCAGACGAAACGTTCGCACAGCACCAGGCGTCCTGCAAAACCCACCCAAAAAAAACGAACAAACCTTGATCAGATTTCTATTTGCATGGAAGGGTTTGCTTGCACAGCCCGCGAGGTGGAAGCAAAGGCTTACAAGCCCGCCAAGCCCACCAAGCAGGGGAGCTTGAGCCTCGCTTTGCATCCAAGACTTACAACCATGTTGTGCAGTTGCTCTGTTCAGCCCAGCTGCATGGGCATGCCGGCCCGAGTGTAGAGACCTTCGCGCCCAGGAGTGTTTTCTTTCGTCTCGGGGGCCCCCTCCCCTCCCCCTCCCCCTCCCCCCCCCTCCCCCCACTCCCACTCCCCCTCCCCCTTCTCCTCTCTTCTCCCCTCCCTCCCCTTCCCTCCCTTTCCTTCTTTCCTCCTTGTATGCGTCCCTCCCTCTCTACCTCTTTCTCTCATGCATCCAAAATTAAGGGGGGTTGTTGCAGCACAAACTCAATTGCGTCGTGGTTTTGGGCTTGCAGGGTCTGGGGTCTTGGGCGTTGTGATGAAGTCAGTGGTAAGAAGAAGCAGACCTGGGAGCAGCAAAGGACTTTCGTCAACTTGGTCACTGGGAAGAAGGCATCGTGGGGGTGTCTCTTCCAAACGGCGGTAGAACTTTTACAACTTTTTCAGGGGCATTGTCTTGCGCGCGGTGCTTCGAAAGGTTGAGATCCAAACATTTTCTAGTGGCCACCCCATCAGGCGCCGTTCGAAATCCAGCCCTTGACACCTCACGTCGGTGGTGTTGCGAGGAATGTTGACCTGACGGATGAGGACTGCAAGGTCCCGCGGGATTGCAATACCTAGAATCTGGGATTTAATGCGCAGCGGTCTTGAGGTGCGTGCCTCTGGCAACCCATCACTTCTCAAAAGCGTTGCAGCAAGTCGCCGAAATGTCCTCGTCCTTGCCCTTCCCCTGATAGATTCCCGCGCGCATCAGCAGATGACGTATGACCGTATGAGTCTTATGAGTGTTCTGGTTTCATGTACGATGCAAGGGTTGTGACAAGCGCTGCGCCTTGATTCACACAGCCTCAGACCTGTTTTAGCCATCCTGTTTCGTGGATGTGTCACGTTTGGCATGTTGAGGACCTGTTCAAGCGGGCGCTTTGAGGAACCAAAACCGCCGTTTTGAAAACAGAGCCACAGGGTCTTGGTGATGAGGCGAAGATCATGAAGGGCCTTTGGGAGTACGGGGCCTTGCTGATCCCCGCCTCGGAAATGTGCTTCCGTCCGAAGGCAGGAACTGCTGCGCAGCTCTGGAAATAAGGTGCTCAAGAAGTTTACACTTCCCTACAATAAGAACGGATAAGTGCGATAAGTAGGTTCTAGCCCTTGTTTTGTTAGGAAAATCTCATTTATAGCCTACTTACAGTACTTATGGGTGTTTATGTAGATGAGAAAGAAATGGCACTGTGGCCTGACGGTTCTAAAGCAAGGTTTGCGTGGATGCGCTTGTTGCTTGTGGTGCTGCTTCAGCATGTTCACATCTTTCCTACGGAAACGTGCTTGGGGTGGTAACCGGGGGCGTCAAGCCAAACGACTAAGAAGGGAGCTGCCCTTTCCTTTTTCCGTCCGAATTTATTCGACCTTTTGCTGTACTGTGAGTGCCCTGAACGGAAGAAGGAAATGCTTCACCCTAAACCCTAAACCCCAAACCCCAAACCCCAAACCCTAAACTCCCTAAACTCCCTAAACCCTAAACCCTAAATCCTGCAGTAAGGCGTCTCGGCTGCAAGCTGTGGG